GGTTCTGCTTGGTTCGGTGAAGACAACAGTAGCTAAAATCTGTCCTGCATTGATTCCAAATTGCTTTGAGGCTGTGGACTGAGATGATGAGGACTCCTGGAAGACTGAAGGTGAAGGAGCAACTGGATTCTTTGAGGACACTGGTGAAAGACTGACCTGCTGGATGTAGGACAGTGAAATGTTCGTAGAGGATGAATCTGGGTTTGAGGACAATGAGTGCTGGTTTGGAGATGCTTGAGGTTGTGGTGTGTACAGGAGAAGAGGTGGAGTGCTCTGGGTTGATGTGGGAGTGCATTCTGCCTGTATGACTTCTCCATCAAGCTCTTCAGAACATTCCTGAAGGATGCTCCTCATTTTTTTGCCATGTCTGGAGCACATCTGCTCTTTAAAATCCCTCTCACTTTCCTTCTGTTCAGAGTGAGTCTTCGCCTGTCTCTCCCTCCCAACTAGGTCCTTCTCCACCAGAAGAGACTGGCTGAAGTCAATCTGATCTATTTCAGAACCTGGCAACTGAGTAGATGTAACGATTACTCCATCCCCACAAATCTTCTCCTGATGTAAAATGGTTTCTGTGTTTCTATTTTGCCACAAGCCCTGAGAATCAAAGAGCTCTTTTGTGCTGGTTTGTGAGAGTCCATCCTCTTTTGTGCTGTTCTGAGATGACCTCAAAAATACACAGAGGGTACCATGGGATGGTTTACCAACTTCAGCGTCCCTTTGTTCCTCACAAATGTTTGCAAGTGATGGTGTGAGACTGTCGTCAAGGCTTAGATTTGTTGTTACAGCTGTAAAATAGAAGAAATGAAGATGAAAATAAAGTCATCTGTAATTCCAAAGCTGTTATGGCAAATTCTGAGACAGACAAAATCATGTTTCTTACCGCAACGTAGGAGTCTCTTCAGAGCTGAGGCTAGAGAGGCACTTTTAATTGAAAGTAATTTTTTTAGGATCTTCTCTCCCCTCCCATATGAATAGGACTGCTTCAGTAACTGGACAGAACAGAATAATATACCAATAATAATATGAATATTTTGATTATATGATAATAATGTGTTTAAAGAATGCCTTATTTTTGATCAAACTGAATGTAAAACATTTTAAGGACCTGCAGGAACTCTGACTAGATATTTAGCCAATATATTTATGTGTATTTAGTTGCTGGAATATTTTCACCTGTTTTATCACCTGTCAGCAAAAACTGTGCTATTTTTTTTAGTCTTTTTTTAAAACAGTCTTTTTGTTTAGAAAAATAAAAGCACAAAGAAATAAGTACAAAAGAAATAAAAAGCTTCTTAAAAAGCATGACTAAACAGAAAATGCAGCTACTTTAGATACAAAAGAACATAAACAGTTACCTGTTCAATACACGTAGGTTGTGGCAGGACTTTATCTAGCTCTCCCAAATAGTGTGAAAGTCTCTCCTCCAGTTTCTGTGCATAGCATTCACCATATTGCTCTTCCATTAAATCCTGCAAAGTTGAATAGTCACATTTGATTTGAAGATCTGGACTTGATGCAGACTAGTGCTTATTTAATTAACGTACCATTCAAATAATAATTTGTAACCACTAAAACATTTTTTTTTGTTTTACATGAGAGCAAGTAATTTTCACTAACCCGAATGTAAGTCTCACGCATATCCCTGTCTCTGGCCAGAACATGAGCAAAGGACTTGAAATCTTCCCAGTTTTTCTGCATCAGATCCATGTTCCTGCGGCTCTATATAGAAGCATGATTTAAGAAAAAAAGGAAAGGAAAGTGTTAAAAAGCTCAGCAGTCCTTGAAAATATTTTATATGATAAAGGCATTATTTATGTCAACACAGACAATACAATACAGTAATGACACATTCTCAGATATTAACTTAATACACTTCAACAAGTTCCATGCATCACATATAGTACATTTATAAATTATTTTGGCTTTTTATGAATTTATGGTGGCCCCTGGTGGAAGGAGATCATACTTACACATTGGTGATACTCTGGGAGGCTTTTAGGAAAAAAGTTTTCAATCTTGTCAAAGATTTTAGCAGTGCTCTGGTCATTCCACAACATCCACATGATAACCTTAAAAAAAAAAAAAAGCTCATGAATCATAAAGTAGTCATGTAATGACAAACAAATGAATATTCATACAATTAAAAACAAAAACATTCCAACTTAAAAAAAATCAAAATCTAGCCAACATGTGTATTCTATAAAATTAAAGAAGAAACTTGGCTTCATTCATTTTATCAATGCAATCAGACAGAGTACATCACCTTTGGGAGAATTCAAGTTGCTATTTATCTCCTTTTATAAAATGTGATTTAAACTTTTTGCTGACAGAAATATTAGCCATACATTGAACGTATTGCATTTTTGGGGGGGATCTGCATTTATTTTATTTTGCATACTTTGCCTTTCTTGTTCAGATCTCCCATTCCGCAAAATATCTTAAACTCATAAATAAAAAGAATAACAAATTTCTGAAGGACCACGGTTTAATTTTTCTTACTGATTGAGGTGTCTGTTGTTCACCTGTTTGTATTTTTCCTTTTCCTTTTCGTTCTATGTTCTTTAATGGAGAGCTGATTATTATGATTATTGTTATTTTCATATTATTATTTATAATTATTGTAATGAAAAATGAAAACCCATGGAAAAAAGTCATTTCTGATTAGTTGACTTCATTTTATCTAAGAAAACAATGTCTTACCAGAGTCTGCAGACCGAACATGATCTTCATGTGTTTGATGGGAGTCACTAGTCTTGGCACAAGTGTGTATGTAACATCCAAAAACTCAGTGACTCGCTCAAAATGCTTGATGTCTCTGGCTTGCACGATCCTCCAGACCTCTGCCGCCACCACACGGATTCTGCACGGCTCTTCAAGGGTCAGAAGATGCCAGTCACCTTCTAGCCATAATGGAGGTCCTAGAACTAAAAGCAGTGAAAGTTGATTAGTTCTCCCATGCATTCATTTTGAACTAGTTTAAGTTAGATCTATTATTGACTTACACCAACTGTGCAGTCGATTTATGATTACAATAAAGTAACAAGTAACATAGTAACTGTGTAATTACATGCAAATGCATTGATTCAATCGATTATACTTTTTAATTGAAAGAAATGCATGAAATACTTATGTAAAAATCATAATTTGATAGGTTTAACAGGTTTAATTGGGTTATTAAAAACAGTGCAAGAAACACCTTCTAAGACCTCCGTCATCCGTTTAGTCCATGCATATTCAATGATCCATAATGGTAAAGCAGGAATAAGGTGAGCGCAAGCTTTTTCCAGCCACAGGTTTTCACTCATTCCAGCCGAAGCAACAGTTTCAGTCTTCAACACTGTCATGATGTCCAGGCATCAGCTGCTTTCAGCGCAGAGCATCTGATGTGAGCTACTGCATGCAGGAAACTTCCAGTTATTGATTCTGCTGAGAAGATGATGATGAGCTCCATTTGAAAGTCAAATTTTGTTAGGCATGTCCGGGCACGTTTAGGAAGAAAATGACGGAACAGTTTACTTTCACTTATAGAACATCAAAGTTAGAAATATCACGGAATAATTAAATGTCGTTCGACTGCACAAAATGCTCATAAAGTCAGTGCAAATATTCCTTGTGTGAAAATATAAATCGTTGACGGTGAAGGAACATTTCAAAATAAGAGCGCAGTTCCATGGTCACCTAAAATAACTTGAACTAGCATTTAAATAAAAATTAAACATTATATTTGTCTTCTAAGTTTATAGGTAAAAACAGAGAAGTGAAAATTTAGACGACAGATTAAAAATAAAAACGTTCTGATTTACCGCTCTTGCCATAAAGTTTCATATGAAGGGCCAAATTAAATAAAATAATTAAAATATGTTTAAATATTTAAACAATATGTATGTATATATGTATGTACATACACAGATGTACAATTCTTGTATTTCGTTTTATTCATAGGCAAAGACAAGCAAAGTTCACTTTATCGTTGAAAATACAATTCAAAATGAAATATTTTAACTTTTAAAAATTGGCATACATAGATCATAGATCATTTTTATTTCTGACAATCTTAACTTCGCGCTGTGGATCGCCGGATCGGCTTTCACCGTGGACGAAGCGGAGTCCATCCCGGGGTCGTCACATGTGGTTACCGCAAGCCCGCCGGCCGCGCCATTCTCAAGCCCGCCGGCCTCCACTCACTCAAGGCCGCGGTGTGTGACGCTGTTTCGTGAGCAGTGTAGAGTAGCGTTTGTAGTTTGTCGTTTCTCTGATCACAAATGCAGACATGGTTTTATGTTTACACGGCGCAATGCAACGCGCAAAAAGACAGTATAAGTCATTATAATCCGTAATTATGTCCCCACTGGATGCAACAAATGCCTCGTTTATAATGGGTTTTAATGTTTTTGTCTTGTGGCTCTGGCCAGACAGGGCATCACATTAGGTGCGTAACATTTCCGTCACAAACTTGAGGTATTCGGCCAATCACAACGCACTGGATAGCTGGCCAATCAGAGCACACCTCGCTTTTCTTTTTTTTCCCTTTTTTTATTATTATGCTTTAAACGACATATACAAAACAATACAAAGCCAGGGTAACAAAGAATCAAAGAAAAGAAAAAAAATATATATATATACAATCAGAGACATGCATGACCTTTACATTACTCAAAGATTTTGAAGATAGAACACAAACTGACAGTTTTAATTGCCTTTCTATTAGTACACACCTCGCTTTTCAGACCGATGAGCTTTGTAAAAATCGACTGTGTTTCAGAAAGGCGGGGCATAGAGGAGAAACAATAATAATGTACAGTATGTGGAAAATAATGTGTTTTTTGGACCTTAAACGGCATAAACACATTTCATTACACCAAATACACAATACAATGTTCTTTTTAGCAACATCATATGACCCCTTTAAGGCTAAAATGGGTTGGTAAAGAGACGTGGTTTAAGGACATTAAAATTACTCACAAGCGTGCAACAACTTTTATTTTGAAAAATGTATTTCCTCCAGCTTCACACTTAAAAAAAAAAACGCCTGACATAGCGCTTGTTGGCGTGATGTGCTGACTTCTGGAGATTTGATATTTTGACGTGGTCACCAAATCTCCAAATGTTTGATGCCATAATTTCGGTTTTATACTGTTAATAGACAATATAAAAGTTGCCTTTGAAGGTGAGTGTACAGCAGTATTTTGAATTTTGTACACGTCGTATACAGTAAATGCGTTCTATGTATCTATCTATATATCTATATATCTATCTATATATCATTTGATGTCTGTGCACGTCACTCATATATTTTAGTAAAATATATTTTATGATGTAGCCACACTTTATTTTTTTGTATTTGTACAAATCATTAAATAATCGTGTTTTAACTTTGCAGTTATACTGTAATATTTGCAAGCAAGATGCCACCACGAATTGATGACGTAATGAAACTGTGTTGTGAACTCTCCGCAAATCAACAAGTAAAAACAGCGGTGAAGCAGTCTGGAAAAGGAGCAGCGGCCGCTGGTGGTTTAGCTTTTGCAGGAGGCTTAATTGGGGGTCCTCTGGGGATTGCAGTGGGCAAGTCCATTCATGCCTTACATACAGGTGTCAGCCTCGTATATAATATGTAATGATGTTTTTCTTACTTGTGCCTTTGTCTTTTTAAGGTGGTGCTGTCGGTGGACTGATTGGATGCTGGATGACAAGCGGACAGTTTAAACCTCTACCTCAGGTTATCATGGAAATGACACCAGACCAGCAGCGCAGACTCTATGAGGATATTGCAGCCGCTTTAGGCTCAATAACATGGACTGATGTTGCACAGCTGACTGCCCTTGTAATGGGAAACGCCACACTACAGCAGCAAGTGACCGCTGCTCTTCTGAGCTATATACAAAAGGAACTTCAAGCTGAAGTGCATTATATAGACTGATTTAACCTTATTTTGAATGTGAAACATTTCAAACCTTATAATCATGTGTCATATGGGTTGTTTGATTGGATGCTTGAGTACTGTAGTTGAAACTGGCATACACAGCATATTTTTTTTACTGTCTAAAACTGTTTGTAACTTTATATGGTACATTTGAATCTATGAAACCTTGTTTCCACCACAGGATTAAAAACAAAACAAAAAAGAAAACATAAAAGGTAGTAAAGTTTATATCTGACAATTACGCTTGCATTTTTGAGAAAAAAAAGTCAGAATTATTACATGGCAGAAACAAACAAACAAACAAAAAAATAATTGCGAGATGTAAACCCAGAATTCTATGGAAAAAAGTCTTGAGTTATGAGATATAAACTCGCAATTGTGAGATAAAGGTAATGCGACTTAATCTTACAATTCTCACTTTTTTCCTTGCAATTCTGAGTTTATATCTCACAATTCTGGGAGAAAAGTCAGAATTATTCCATGATGGAGACTAAAAAACAGATTTGCCCGAATTCAGAGGAAAAAAAGTCTGATTTGTTAAATGTAAACTAGCAATTACGAGAAAAGTCTGAAATGTGAGATAAATATAATTGTGATTTTAACTCACAATTCTGACTTTTTCCCCCTCACAGAACAGAGATAAAAAGTTGCAATTACTTTTTACATTTTTTATTCCCTGGCAGAAACAAGCTTCCATATGAATCAAGCACTGTATATTCTTTGCAATAATATCCTGACATAATGTGCCATATTTTCAGAACACTTAGGAAGATTGTGCGTTATAGAACATATGTGAATGATATTGTTGAATCATTGCCTTTTTAAAAATATTTAATTGAATTTTTTTTTTGGTCTGATAGAACTGTTTGTTTTAATTTGTAACCAAGATTTGCATGCCTCAAAAATAGATGTAGGTTGCTTTAAAATATATATTTATTAATATTTGGCCAGACATTAAAAGCATACAGAGAAAATGTCCATTGTTTATCCAACAATTACAGTATCCTCATCAGGAAACTCATAATAAGGCACCTCCAAGTTGAGAGGTGCGGGTCCTTTTCTCATCCTTCCTGAAGCATCGTAATGTGACCCATGGCAGGGGCAGTAGTACCCGCCGTAATCACCGGCATTTGCGATTGGGACACAGCCGAGATGAGTGCAGACACCAATGATGATGACCCAGGTGGGGTTGGTGACGCGGTCTTTGTCATGCTGGGGGTCCCGGAGCTCTGAAAGAGCAATGTTCTGCTCGGCTGTAATCTCCTTCTCTGTTCTGTGACGAACAAACAGAGGCTTGCCTGTCCACATGAAGGTCATGTTTTTCCCCTCTTGGATGAGCGGGGTTAAGTTAGTTTTGTTTTTGATATTCCTGACACATTC